AAGTTGGACATGACTGAGCAACTTTCACACTTTGAAGACACCTGTGCCACTAATGCATTAATTTTAACTGCTGCACAGTATTACGTTTTATAACTATTAACACAATTTACTTATTTGCTCTTCCTTTGGTGCTTAGGCTATTTTCAATTTCTCATTGTACAGTTCTGCATGAATACATGTGAGGATGCTTTTAAAACCCTGATACTTGAGCCAGGTTTAAGAAATCTGCTTTCCTTGTTTTCTGGTATAAAATTTCTATGAACCCCAAAGAGTTAATTCATTCAAACTGAGTTCCTGCTGAGCGTAGAGACACCAGGCAAAGCAGAGATAAAGTCCATGTTCTTGAGTAGGGACCACTGGAATGGGATAATTATCCACTAATAGTGCTAATAAAGGTAACGCTGCAAGTTTATAAGTAACTTGAAGGAAAAGTCTGTCACCCTATAAGAATACAACAGGAAGAATGTGTTCTTGGTTCAGGGTGTTGGTGTTGGTGTTCCTGAAATGGTGATGCTTGATCTGAAAGGGGAAAAAGAAATGAAACAGAATTAGCCTGGTAAGGGGTATGCAGTTGGGCCACGTCGGGGTGAGTGGAATCACAAGCAGAGGGAACAGCAGATGTGTAAGTCCTAAGCTGGAAGAGAAAAGTTTTTTAGAGAGAATGACTGTAATTGGGACAGACTGAAGGGAAAGAAGATGTGAGAAAAACTTGAGAACTACTTGGGCCAGAGCATACAAAACCTTTTGGCTTTTAGCCTATGATAAAGGAATACCATAGACTGGTCTTAAGCTGGGAAGTGATACTACTGGATTTGGATTTTGAAAGAACAAATTCACTGGTTCCAAGATGGTGAAGCCTTTGTTTGGATTCCTCCTGCAGTTTCTGCTGGATCCATGTCACTGAAGCTAAACATCTTATATCACTGGCAGGACTCATTCCTTCTCTTCAATAGAGACTGAAATGAGGAAATGCTCATAAATAGCAGGATCTGTTCTCAGGGCAGGATGCACAGCAGAGAGAGGAAAGAGGTTATTTTCCATGAAGCGGTGAGAGTCTTTAGAGAATCAGGAAATGTAAAAGTCAAATGTGAAAAAAGGAAATGTAAGTCAAAGTAGGGGTGAGTCTGCATAAACAAGAGAAGAGGCAGGGGGAGGAAAGAGAGACCGAGAGCCTGGCTTCTCAGAAACCTCTTGGTCACCCAGCGGGTACAGAGATCAGAATGAACCAGGCAAAACCCAGGGACAAGGCATTAGCAGAGACTTCAGCTGAAATGCTCTCTAGGCAGTCCAAAGTGGACCAAATAGCTCACAAATCGCACAACACAGCAACTAAAATCCTCCAGCCTCTGGGAGGCCTGAGTGCACCTAGACTTAGCCCATGATTAATCTCTTCTCCTTCCTACAAAATCAAAGTCATGATCTGAGGCTTGTGGTACCAACACTGTCACGGCTCCTACTGGGTAACTCACATGTGCCACTCCATGCTTCCTGGGCTCTGGCCTTGTTCTCAGCTCAGAAAACATGCTTGACAACACTACCATGACTCAACCAACTTTCCCTTCACCTATTATTTAACAGTCTGTTTTTCCTTCTCATGCTTTGAACAGATATTTAGTTTCCAAGACAAGGGGGGAAGAAAAAGAATTCCGAGATTCAGTTTGCAGTTAGGGAAATGCTTTGCTTTGGGGAAAGAACTTTTCTAGAAAACAATGATTGTATTTGGCTTTTTCAAAAAGTATGTATTACCATAAGAATGACTCAGCCGCTAACAAAAACACAGTTGCAGAGAAGAAACTGATTGAAGCATAATTGATTATGTTGGACAATTACAAATGCCCTTATTAAATAATTGCATTTAAACCACATGATAGTTTTACAACTGATTTATAAAAACAAAATTGTGAAAGTTTAAGTGACATAATTGTTCTCAGTATCACTACAATTTTCAAATGAAGCAATTTAGCCTTAGAAGCAATTTCACTTCTCATTGTGATGTTATTTTTGTGTCAAGCTGCAAGCTTTTGTTCCACTCCAGAGTTCTAGGAAAGATGATTAACCCTTCCCTCTCCTTGGCTAAGGCAATGATGAATTTTTCTAATATACGAGTCCTTCACATTTTGCTGCAGATCTAGCAGGTTATAAAAAGAAAGACTTGCAGGCCTCTAACTGTATAGTTTCCATTTAATGAGACTATAGCAGCTTCTGTATAGATGCGGGAAATGTAAATCTTTCTTAGATTGGGGCATTGGTGAACTCAGAATAAAAATGGCAAAAACAAAGTATCTTGTGTTTGAAAGTATCAATCAATAATGTTAAGACTTTGCATAGTTTTCTCTCAAAATTATATCCCTACCGGAAGCAATATGGGAAATGGCCCAGTATCTCTGGCACATCTCCTGGAATGTTAATCAGAGGTCTGTATTTTCAGGTGCATGAATAAAAGACCTTGGAACATTCAACAGATAAAAGCCAATACCATTAACATTCCTTTATTTAGTTTCTGTGAATTAAATGGTTTTATACAACTACTGTCTCGGTATCACACACACAATTCCCAAGGCATGTTCCACACTGGTAATAAGAGCTAAACCTGCTGTATTTCATTTCAGTCTTGCTGATAGCATTTATCAGCAAAATCTGGCTAAAACGGAATATGCAACTTAAGCCTGATCATAACTGGTCTGCAGAGGAGGAAAGTGGGGGATTATCTGGAGACTCAGAGCACAAGTATAAGACTGTATTGTCATTGTGTGCTATAGGCCTTTTGGCAAACCGTAGTGTAAGCCCCAGCTGACAGGCCTTTTCACAACTGACAGAGGAAAATATGAAACTTAAATTCTTCATGACAGATAAATCTGCTGAATGAAAGGAAGACCAATAGGATAATGGTGGGACAAAAAACACACTGCTTTTGGGTAACTCCCTTAAATCTACCTCTTTTGTAAATATACAAAATAGGCATTCAATGAATATCTTCTAAACTCCTACCTATCAGCTTTGCTAAGCAAGCTGTTAAGTTGGAATGATAAAATAAGCATCTTCTCTTCAACAGATGAATACAAAGTCTTATAAAACAGGGATGGCAGATTAAATTTAATATGTGGGCATGAAAGATGTTTCCTGGATGACTATCAACTGGAGTAGATTTCTTGAACCAAAGTTGACATATTACTATTGTAGAAGGCTTATTAATTGAGATATTAAATATACTTAATCCACCATGATTGGGATTTTTGTCAAAGTTTTTTTAAAAATACAACTATAAGTAATTGCTCTTTTCTGTCAGTGGGTCCCAAACCATGAAATGTAACCAGAGACCATCTCTTAGGATTAATATCTTCGGTCTTTCCAGTGGTGATATATACTTTTTACCCTTGTCAAGGGCCCTGGGGGTCTTTGCCTTTCCCATACTAGTTTATTTCTGGCATTTCTCCCTAGGAAAATTCAACCTGGTTGGCTATACAAGTTCTGTCTAATTCCAGTGATGGCCAAAAACAAATTACCTCAAACCATGAAAGGCCAAATAAACTGAAAAGTAGTGTCCTGTATAGTTTTTTTTTTTAAATCCTTGCAGGTATTTAGCACACTGTGTAACCTCACTGCTCCTGGAGGAAGCTTACTGAGCAGCACTGCTTCTAGAGGGAGAGGAGGAATTAGCACAGGCTCTTTAATACAGACTGCCTCTTCTATTAATGAATGGCTGAAGTGCCTTGGCAAATCCCAGGTTGAGTTGATAGACAGGTCTTGTTAAGAAATCCTAAAGCAAGTTTTAGGACCCAAGAGCAAATCTGGCCTGAACTGGTCCACAAGTAACTCACGGCTAATCCTTAGCATGAAAATCAAGGTGAGAGTGGAAGCAAGCAAAAGAGGGAGAAAGAGAGAGAACATCAGGAGAATGAATGAATGAAAGAAAAGATGACACAGGTAAGAATGCTGGGGGTCATTTTTCTGACCAATATAGGTTCTTCCATTAGCCAGACAGTCCTGGAATGTCTGTCTGGCAGCGGGACTACAGTACAGTCTCAGGTCATGGGAATCTTCCGTCGGATCACAGGAAGGACGAAGGAAAACAGAGAGTTAGACTGTGAGGAGCAGGAGGAGGTGGCAGGGGAGAAGGAGGGGAGCCAGCCTGCAGTCTGAGAGAAGAATCCAGGCGCCACAGTGTAACAGCTGCCTCAGGTATGCTAGCCAGTCTCAGCTCGTTCCCAGCTCTTTCTGGCAAGCCCTAGGCTCAAGCGTGCACACAACGCATTCGCGAGTACACACACACACACACACACATGCAGAGCTGTGTCTGTTGTAAAGAAGATTCTGGTCTGTCCACAATAGTGTCTTTCAGATACTTACAAGAGAGAATTGGGCTTGCTGGGCACTTTTTTCATAACTGTGGTAAAATTGTCTAAGACCTTGGTAAATAACAAAATCTACTCACATACAAAGGGATTTAACTTACTCTAAAGATTATTATGTTTTGTCTGCTGGATTAAAATTGCTCCCAAAGTTATCAGAGAAACTCAACATTAGCACTTACTTTTCTATAAAGAAACAAACCACACACACACAAAGGTGCAGCATTATACAGTAATTATCCAAAATGCTACCGCTTGGAATAATAAGGATGCTGTGTGTTTACACAGCATCTTTTTTCCCAAAGAATTCAAATAGCTACACCACTTGTGTCCCATTATTCCTATCAACAGTCTTCTGTGAGCTTTGCGGGTGGCAAGGATAATTATCTACATTAGACAGGGGGAATAACTGAGGCACAGAGAAACATTCAGGATCACACAGTAAGGAAATAGTAACTGTGGATTTACTACTAAAACACTAAGTGTCAAGAGTTTTGCTGTTCAAGTAAAATATATATTTCTCTTTTCCATCTTGACTCTCCATGACAATTTGCAGCATCTTTCTTTTTGGGGGACTCATCTTCAATTCCTTTGTGTTCGAGCTCTACCTTAGCACTTATCAGAGTTGTAATACTTCATTTATTTGCCTACCTCTTTCCTGATATGTTCCTGAGGGCCAGCATTTGTTCATCTCTGTTCTCCAATGCTTGAAAAATAGCTGGTGCTTCTTAAGTGTCTGTTGGTTGAATGAATGAAAGAAAGAAGAATGAATGAATTAAAGAACAATTATCTAAAGAATTTCTGACAAGGTAACAATAAGTAGGTATTTGGACTTAAACTATATGTCCCATCTGATTTTATTTTTGCTGTGACAAGTATGTCCACCTCACAAGTCTCTTAAAAAATCCAGTGAATACATTTAGAGCAGATTCCTTCCCTGCCCGGGTTGTTGAATTTACTGTTTGGAACAATAAACTGAGACTTGCAAATTTAGTAAGGCTCCAGATGTTCTATTGTAATTATTTTCTCCATAGCCTTCTTTTTTGATATCTAAGAAAAAGCATTTCGGTGTGGAGATTTGGGGGAGTGTTAATATATAGTTCTTATGCTATCCCCAAACCCCTGTCATCCATGAATTGAATCTTAAGGCCAGATTGTTACTGGGGGAGGGGATATAGACCTCCAAATAACAGTAGGAACAATGATTGCTTTTCAAGGAGATTACAAATTTAATTCTCTTAACATTTTTTGGTGATCAATACAAAAAAGGCAAGGTAATATATGTTAATCTTTACCAGATGTACTTTATGTATCCCCTTACACTGGAAGCCTAGCAGGAGTAGAATGTCACAACAGACATTTACTGAAATACCTGGGGAAATGTAACAAAAAGTGTTAGAGGAAAATGGTCTTTCAGCTAAATTACCTAATATATTTGCTAATGGTATCTGATTTAAAAGCCATAAAAATACCAAGTTAAAAGCACATTAGAAGATGTGTTATATTTATAAGTGTTTGTCACCTTGGCAACAAAAGCTATATTCCAAATCTAACACTAGCTATGATGGGCCAAGACCTTTTAAAATTGGTAAATACTTCTTTATAGCAATGATCTGCTTTTAGCTACTGAATGTTAGAACTAGAAAAGGCAAGTTTTTCATTGAACAGCAAGGTTTTTTTGTTTTTTTTTTACTAGCTTTCTACTATGGGTAAGATTTTTCTTTCTATTAGTAACTATGGTTTATCATTAACAAGAAAAATAACGCACTTTCAAATAAAGCTTCAGTCCTAATTTTTCCCTCTTGTATTCAGAAATGCAGATATAATAACTTGAATATTCCTAAAGATAGAGCTTATTTATCAACTCTTCAGTTTATCAACCATAGCACTGACTTTTGCCCATGGATGAAACGCCAGGAGTATTCCATAAAGTCAACCTTATTCTACAGGAATTTATCCTCCAGAACAGCTGGGTGAAATATAAGTTTCCATATACCTTTACCTTCAAACTAAGTTGCATGGGGCCTGAAACATTATCTTTCACTTTGTGTCACTAAAATTCTACTTCCTACTTACAACTCTTAAACATGGATGATTCGGTAATGGAAATCCATGCTCTAAAATGTGGATTTCAGATGGACCTGAAGGAGGTTTAGATAAGGACTCTTTCTATTCTTTGCTTATTTCCTAAGCTCCAATCTGATTTCCAAATCCTATTTTAAAATGTTTGGGCTACATGCCAGTCAAAGATTATAATTCCAAGAGTCTAACTAGATTCCCATGTGGTTGAACCAATTTTCAGAGTAAACCATGGAAAAGGTCTGGGTAAACACACATTTTCTGTGGGCTGTGGCTATTCACTGAGAGCCTAGACAAGTTGTCTCTGCAGCCAGCTTGGGAAAATTCAAGCCCAACTCGTGATCTGTAATCATGCTCAGCAGGTTCTCAGATAGGCAGGCCACCCGAAGGACTGAAGGCCGTCCGTCCCCAGTAACCTGTCTAACACAAGCAGTGCGTGCCCCTCATCTGCCTGGAAGAATCAGTAAAAATGCCCTACCTAAAGTCCACGCTAAGCAGCACCCCCAGGAATGTGTCACTGCTTTCTTTTCATTTTCTGAAGAACAAAGTCTTCTCAGTAAAGAGAGAAAATAAGGTTCAGTTTATGAGACAGAGACATTAATAGTGTAGAAAGAGAATGTTCTAAAAGAGGACAGGATAAACCTCCAGCTTGGTACTAATAAATTAAGGTAGCAGCTTTGAGTTCAAATATAAACCTATAAACCATGTGAACAAGGATGACAAAATATACTCAAATATAGTTAACCAGACTTACCATACATTGATTGAAAGTGAGGAATCACATGGATTGATATGTATTCTAGTGGTTAAACACATTTTTCATTTGATAAATGTAACTAACCTCTGGAGAGTGTGTTCTGGTTATATCACCTTATCACTAAGCCCTTTGTTTAACTCCTAACAAATCATTTACCAAGCTATAATCTGTTGGCAAAAGAATTTGTCCATTTTTGCCTCTATATAATTTTTAAATAGCCTTGATGGAAAATCACAGTGCCTTGTTTAAAATCAGCATATATGGTATTATTTAAAATATTGACTACATAATCTCATTTTAATGTCCAGGAAACACAAAGAAAAGACTATTGATGGGCTGAACTTCACCAAATGTAAACACACAAGATACTTCGTAATAACTGCCTTAGTTGAGAGAAAAGTACATGAGAAAAATAAAGCATCACTCATCTTTCTTCCTAAGGAGACAATAAGCCCATGAGGGAAGAGGTTGCTTTTTTGCTCAAATTTATACCCTTTACATGATAGGGAAGCAATAAATATTTGTAGAATTGAAATTGAATGTTGTATATACGAACTTCAGTAAGTCTATTTTATGCATTCCACACACTATCTACAAGTTAAGGAATGACTATCTACACAAATATGTAGCCAAGAAAATATGTTAGGAGTAAAATAACATGATCCTTTTCCATTGTGTTGATCTTTTTGTGTGGACATGTTTGCCTTTTAGATTTGAAAGATGGATAAAATTAGGTAAAGAGGATGGGGCCATAGTTGTATAGCCCACAGTGGAAAGTGGGAATTAGAATGACAGAAACATTAAGGAGATTTTCACTTGCTAGAGTGAAAGTTGTAGGTTTGGGGCTTCCCAGGTGGCACTAGTGAAAGTTGTAGATTTAAAGTGAAGGTGTTAGTCGCTCAGTTGTGTCCGACTCTTTTCGACCCTGTGGACTGTAGCCTGCCAGGTTCCTTTGACCATGGGATTCTCCAGGCAAGAATACTGGAGTGGGTTGCTCTCTGGCCATGGGATTCCCCAGGCAAGAATACTGGAGTGGGTTGCTCTCTGGCCATGGGATTCCCCAGGCAAGAATGCTGGAGTGGGTTGCCATTCCGCTCTCCAGGGATGGTCCTGACCCATGGATCGAAAACCTGGGTCTCCTGCATTGCGGGCAGATTCTTTACTGCCTGAGCCACCAGGGAAGCCCTGGCTTAGTAGCTTTAAGGGAGTAAAAAATGTAGTTAAGTAAGTAGGGTGGAAATGGCAACCCACTCCAGTATTTTTGCCTAGTGAATCCCATGGACAGAGGAGCCTGGCAGGCTACAGTCCATGGGGTCGCAAAAAGTGGACACAACTGAGCGACTAATACTATACTATACTAAGTAGGATGGGGCCAGTTGTAGACCAAAAAAGGAAACTATATGTGAAAAGTCAGACCTTGCATGGATTTCCTGGATGCTCAGCAGGTAAAGAATCCACCTGCAATGCAGGAGATGCAAGAGACTTGGGTTCGATTCCTAGGTCGGGAAGATCCTCTGGAAGAGTACATGGCTACCCACTCCAGTATTCTTGCCTGGAGAATCCCATGTTCTGGGGGGTTACAGTCCATGGGGCCACAAAGAATCGGACACAACTGAAGTGATTGAGCAGTAGCAGCAGCAGCAGACCTTGTGCAGTTTCCCTCACATTATTCCTTATGACACAACTTTGCAATGGGTATGATTTTCCTTACTTACAGACTGCAGACAGCCTCAGAAAAATTAAAAGCCCAGCCCCGTGGCTCTCTGCAAGTAAAGATGAGATATAACCCAACATTCTTTCCACTCCACTATATTGTATTGAAAACCTGGCAGAGAGGCATAGAGATTAACTCGCATAGAAAGCAACAGCATATAAACCAAGTCCAGAAAAATAAAATCTAAATAAACAATTTAAAAAGATACAAATGGCTCAACAGGACCCCTAACTGCCCTGGGAGTTTTTTCATGTATGAAGTGAGCAACATTAGCATATAGTCATGTTCTTATCCTCAACAGGGTGACCTGATTAATTTTCAGTTACAAATTTCAAAGTAGTACCGATTAAGACTTTGCTGCTTAGAGTATTAGTGTTCATCATTCCAGAAAACCCCAGGTCTGATTTGGAAAACAAAAAAATATCCTAAAGGCAGATCTGGTTACAGGAATTTAGACATTGTCTTTTACTGGCAACCTGACAAATCTGTTGCCTACTCTCCCTTTTGTGGTTTACATGCTGCTTCCATACATGACACTGGCATCCCGTTCGGAAGTTGTTTGTTGTGCTTTGGTTTATGTCTCATACAACAACTTCCCTGAGCCACTTCTAAGAGAGGATAATAATGACAAATTTGAAATTTTCCCCCCAGGAAAGGAGGCTGTGGTGAAAATGCGAGACGACATTTAAGCAACTAACATTAAAGGCATTTTAATTTTCTGTTGACAAACACAACTTTCCAAATGATTTCCAGTGAAGTTTCTGGGCTGACAGCCATACAGCTTGCTGAGGACTTGTTTTCTGGTTTTACAGAAGTGCTAATGAAATCTCTTCTTCTTCTGTTGGTTACTCTCAGTGGGGAACCTAATGTCTTGAAGATCATAGTGCTGTTTGGGTTCCTGGTTCCACAGCGGCTGTTCTCACCTTCCTGGTGTTTCTTGCTCCCATCCCCTTAGACCAGCCTCTCCTAACCCCAAACACGGATGTCAGAGCTGAGAAAGGAGTACTTGCAGGTGCACTGGCCCCAGTCTCAGCAGCTTGCACATCCTTCAGCAAAAGTAGCCCAGTTCTTAGGCCCCAGTTCTCTAACTTGGGGTTTTACCTTTTTTCCAGATCAGTGTCCACCTCAGTCTCCACTACTTTAATGTTTTCCCATGTTGAATGCCATCCGTCTTTTTAGCTCAATA